AAAGCAGTGTGTGTGAAAGTTGGTCATTTCTGACAATTATGAATGCCCTCTCTATTTCAAGTTGTTTTTTCTTTTTTCTTTCCTATCAAGAGCTTGGACTCCACTCAAACTATGTGGCAAAAACTCTTTTCTCATTTGGAGGGTGTGATTTATGGACATGTCTCTGTACTTAATGCTAGGGAAGAATGTTACCTCCTCCAGGACTTTCATGGTATAAAATCAGTGCCTTATTTTGAAGAATCCTTTTTTAACCATCTGAATTGTGGTAGTATGAAGGTCACAGGTAAATATTCCTGGAAAAAGAAATTGAATAGCAAACAGCACAATTTGCACAAGTATCTCATTTGCCTTGCTAAATTTATATAGAAGAACACAATGTGAAGCCTCCATTGCTTCTTAGATAAAACTTGCACAATTTACACAATTTCAATATCTCCTGTATGAAATGACCAAGTCTTTTTTTAGAAAAGCATCAGTTTTGCATTTTGAGAATTGCAGTGTGTCAGTTTGGAGGGCAAGTTAAGAATGCTGAACAAGTTTCATAGGAGTGCCAAAGTAGGGATAAGAGAAGGGCAGAGGAGACAAACTTTGAACTGTTCGTTTCCCTTGAAAATACTATTTAAGCAATTGCACTAGGACTGTTCTGCCAGGGACGGATGGTGTTAGTTCCCTGGGCCTCACAGTGCAGGTTATTCAGGAGGGACTGACAGACTAGTCCTGACTGCTTTTTGATACTTAAGACACCTGAGAGACTTCCAACAACTTTTTCAGAGGGTGTTCAACCTGATCAGCCCTGTAAATTGCAAATGCCATCCTTTATTGTTAAATGTATGTGTTCAGTGTGGTATAGTAAGATGCTGATTAAAGCAATGAATTGATTCACAGCTTAGAAGCCTTTGCAGAAGAATTACGGAAAATACCCATGTCTTAGCAAGACAGAGAAGACAGAAATATTTTGAGGTGAAAGTGGTGTTTTTTAAAAAGACACTGATTCGGTTTTTGTGAGTGCTATCAGGAGCGTGTGGATTGCTTTAGAAAACAATGTGCTGTGTAAGCATTTGTAATGAACTGTGAAGAGTCAGAATTAGAATTTTGCTGTGATTTTGTTTTCACTTTTCTTTTGACATGTTAGGAAGTGAAATATATTGCAGAATTACCTTTAGTGCTCTACACCTGTTTGGATTCCCAGGTGCTAAAAATGTCCTTTATCAGTACTAATACTGAAATGAGAAAATACTCATTTTCCCTACTGTGAAGCTTAAACCTTTTCAAACGGAGTTCGCTACGCATGTTTATGCCTGAGGTTTTAAAGTGGTTTTTGAAATGTTTGAAAGAGAAAAATAACCTCTTTTCTTGTAGGTGCTTCCCAAGCATTCAAAGAGGAGAAGAAATTAAGTGGATCCCAGCATAGAGGACCAGATGGAGCAAAGGTTAACACAGAATCTGCTTCAGCCAAGCCATCAAGTCCTGTTGCACAAACATTCAGAGTTATTCAGGACACAATGAGTGAAGAGTATGTGAGAACTATTCAAGGTGTCTTTCAGTTTGAATTGTCTGGTAAGACCATCACTTGCAAAACCTTCCCATGCTCCCATTCCTAGCAAAGGCACTCAGTGTTTTCAAACCAAAATGCTCACATTTCCAAGGGGATCCTGAAACAGACCACGTTTTGTTGTGTTCTTTGTGATGCTTCTTCTCTGGACCAACTGCAGCATGCCCAGGAAGCAGCTACCACAGCTGGCTTGTGCAGGCACATGGCCCTGCGCACAGGGGTAGTGTGATGGTAGGCAGGTGCTCGCTCGCAGGGTCACGTTAAAAGCACCAGCTGCCACCAGCTCTGTCAGCAAAGTGCTGTCTTTCATAGAATCATAGACCTTCAAAGGTCATCTAGTCCAACCCC